ACCCCCACTCCTAAAAAATTTATACGTGATTATAATTTATAACATTCTGCAATGTAGATTTAAATGTCTTGTCAACACTGAACTGACTTAATTACTGCTTTGCTTTTAGGCATAGATCTAGATCTAGATATCTAGATTTTTTAGATCTACTTACTTCTATTGCCTCTCAATACTTTTCAACAGTGCCATGGACCATGGATGGATGGTTGACGGTTGGATCAAGTGACTTGAATTTGTCGATACTATTTATTAAATGAACCCAAACCCCACTTAGCCCACTATCTAGCCTATACTTTTTGACTCAAGATCTAATATCTAGATCTAGATCTAGAACTAGATCTAGGCCTACTGACCTACTCAGTGACTTGCAATTATGTTTTTTTGTAAGTATGCCACCTCTATAGTGAAAGGCCACCTCTATGGAGTCTATTCTCACCCCGGGTGAGAATAGCGCAGACGAGTCTTTTGGCTATTCTCACCCGGTGTGCGTTCACCATGTTTTTAGCCTTGGCCAACCAGTGTAGCGTTCACCCTGAATCACAGGATTCTACACCGACACCGTGATAACAGAACTGTAAAATACTGTGCCGTGAACAAATGTTCAATTACTACTGTTAGCCTAAATGCGTGCAATTTCGTCTGTGGGCAGTGGAGACGAGAGAGAGAGGAGTAGGCCTATGGCCCATGGCGAGAACTTCCGGGCAAAATAAAATGACGACCCGCGTAGTTCGGCTCGATTCGAAAAGTCAAATAGCATTAGTAGCATCTTTGTAGATGACCAAATTAATTTACTTTTTTGTGTTTTAATATCATTTTTTAACTTTGCTTTGGTCAATTTGATCGTCCACACCAATTCAGAAAGAGACAGAGAGAGAGAGGGGAGGAGTAGATCTTGCGAGAACTTCCAGGCAAAACAAAATGGCGACCCACCTAGTTTGGCGCGATTTGAAAAGTGAAATAGCCATAGCGTCTATACTGACGATCAAATTATAATCTTACTTTTGTGCTATAACGTCATTTTTTCTTAGCTTTTTATCAATTTGATCATCCACACCGATAGACAGTATTCCGAAATGAGGAAAAACATGTCTTGTTTCACACCGGGTGAGAATAGCCAACGCTGGCAAGTCTCAACCAGGGTGAGAGGTCGATTGTCTTTTTATTCTCACCCCGGGTGAGGATAGCCACTTCCATACTAAAAATAGCACAGGCAAGCCTTATGGCTATTCTCACCCGGTGTGCATTCACCGTGATAGGCCACCAGTCTTGCGTTCACCGTGATCAAACATTCCAGCGCTCTTGTGTTGAAAGCGTGCTATTATCGGGAGGACTTCCGAAACGAGCGACCACTTGAGGGGTAGGGGAAGGGCTAGGGTTATGGAAGGACTTCTGTAACGACTGACCACTCCAACCTACGCAATAAAGAAGGGACTTTTGAGTTGACTATGTAAAAGACAGGACAGGGTTTAGTATTTGGTTGGACAATAAAGAAAGTAAAACTGCTTTCGTATTTCCTTGTGTTCTCTTGCCTTCCACTGTCTGTCTACCTGGAATGTATATTATTATATTATTAGTTAGTTAATGTTAACATCTATCTGAAAAACATACATAATATGACATGATTGGAAAAATCCATATTTCGATGTGACCGTGATTCGAACCTGTGAGTGAGAGAAGCAAACATGATTAGTAATCCAAAAACGTACCACTATGCCTATGCCACTAGGCTGTTGACACAAAAAGGTTTAAAAAATTCTTAAGAACCTACTCAAGTTTAAGTGGGAGTGTATCACCTTTAAAAATTACCAAAACGCAATTATTTTATTTCAGGATTTTGCTGAGGTTCCGTCGCAAAATTACGACAGCTGATGCGATTGGCTTTAAAAAAAATATTTTAAAAAGTACATTTCTGAGTCGAGTCTACGTAATTTGCATAAAAGGGGGGACCTTCATTGTTTGAGTTGCCACTGGACAAACGGGGATTTCTCCTTACCGGCCTACCTTTATTTCGTTTTTTTAGTACGCCCGTGTCGCTGTAGGGGATGAAGAGAAAAATTAACCAATTTATTATAGCCATTTCATTTCACACATATTTTGAACGAGAGAAAAAAAAAGAAGAAGAACTTAAAAAACTAATTCTGTGGCAACCAATCGCGACCTCAGTGCTTTCTTGTTCCACCTCCATTTTATAATTTTATCTATTGCTATCCCTACCACTACCTTTACCTTTACCCCTAACCCTTACACTACCCCCTACCCCTACCCCTACCCCGACCCTCACCCTACACCTATACCTACCCCAACCCTAACCCTACCCCAAACCATACCCCTAATAAACCCTACCCCAAACCATACCCTTTATAAACCCTACCCCTAACCCTACCGTTAATCCTACCCCTACCCCCTACCCTTGAACTTACCTCTACCCATAATTACCCTAAATCTACCCCTAACCCTACCCTGGATTAACCCTAACCCTAACCATAGCCCTACCGCTAACCATACCCTTAACCCAAGCCTAACCCTAACTCTTAAATCGCAGTTCTACCCTGTTTCATAGTGGTCGCTCGTTACTGCTTTAATAATAATGTGTTTTATGGGAGGACTAGTCTAGATGAGAATTTGGTTACTAAACAAACCGACGAAAACCTGGCAAACCAGGGTTCCCAAACAGCGGAAGTAAATAAAATCTGCAGGGTTAACAATGGCCGCATCTAGACGAAAGTCTACTAATCCCCGACTCAGATCTTCAAAACTTTGAAATGGGCCTAAAAATATGTAAACTGCCGTAAGTTTGTCGTGATCAGGTGGTACAACAGTGGCTTTCGGTCTTCCATCATGATTTTGATGGCCATTGAGTATAATCTAAATTTTATAGTGGTCGCTCGTTACGGAAGTCCTCTCCAATATTTTATCTATGGGCAGTGAGAGAGAAAGAGGGGGGGGGGGGGGGGGGGGAGGGGGGGGGGGGGGGGGGGGGGAGAAGGAGTAGATCTAGCGAGATCTTCCGGGCAAAACAAAGTGGCGACCCACGTAGTTTGGCTCGATTCGAAAAGTGAAATAGCCATGACATCTCTGTAAACGGCTAAATTAGTTTACTTTTGTGCTATAACATTATTTTTTTCTTTGTTTTTTGTCAATTTGATTGTCCACACCGATAGACAGTATTCAGAGAGAGAGAGAAGGGGTAGATCTGGCGAGAACCTATCGAGAAAAACAGAATGGCGACCCGCGTAGTTCGGCTCGATTCGAAAAGTGAAATAGCCATAGCATCTCTGTAAACGATCAAATTAGTTTACTTTTGTGCTGTAACATCATTTTTTTCTTTGTTTTTGTCAATTCGATCATCCACACCGATAGAAAGTATTAAGAAATGAGGAAAAAGCCGGTCTTGTTTCTCACTGGGTGAGAATAGCCAACATTGGCAAGTCTCACCCTACTAATAGATGTCTAGTAGAATAGTACTGAACCTCAGATAAGGTAAACACTCTTCTGGACCCAAAGAGTTCACTTTAAGCGGACTCCACTGTACACACTAACTTTGCACCAGCATATTTTATTCCCACTTGTGTATTAATTATGCATACAGTCAGCGACATTTATGATTTTACTTTTGTCAGCAGCCACAACTACACCCCTGTGAGTAACATACTTTGCATAGAGACACAGAAATTTTGGAAAGGTCAAAAACAGCCTCAGGCATACACCACTCACCTCTGCAACGATCAATACCAAAAAATGTAAATTTTTATGGAATTTTTTTTCGCTGATGGCTTAATAAATCAACGAAGACATGGACATGACAAGAAAGTAAAATGGTTCCATCATGAATAACACTAGACTTTCAGTGGAATTTCATTGTCCAAATAATATTTGACAGTAACACTTAGTAAGGCAAAATGAAAATATCTATTTTACCAGTTAAGTTTGTCAGTTTCAAGAAAACTGGCAAAGTTTGGTGATTTTCAAAGCTTGAGACAAGAGTTCTTGAAACTGTAAATTTACCATTTTTGTGACTTTAATTTTAATCGTTTTTCAATGTGCCTAAGCCACACCGCACCTTGTTTTTAAATGGACATAGATCTTAACTCTGGAAGCACGCAGGCCCTATATTTTATGTCCACCCCAGTTTTTGTTTAGTAAATTGTGATCTAAAATATGGAATCTTAGCCGAATGTAGACCTTCAGAGTGAATCAGAGCTGGGTCTTAGGAGTGACTTTAGTGTAGTATAAATTCTGCTTTCTGAAAACAGCGGGGTTTTAGGCGAACCAGGATCGTAAGCGGTGGGCTCTTTTGTGGAGACTACTGTACTAAATTCCTGGATGTATTAAAGTCCCCCTATCCCTGCCTTTGTTGTGCTTTTTGTCTCTTGTTTTCTTTCCCTTATTTATTATAAATCGAGTAGTTCCCCTCTTTTAACTTTGTTGAATGATGGTTCTTTCCTCTCTCACCCAGTTCTTTACAATACATTTGATCTGTATCTTGACTAAGAGTATAACCAGAGACCATATTTTGACGTTGATTCTGATCTCCTAGTTAGGTTTCTTTTTGCTAATATTTTCAAGCACATTATTCATTTTTATTCCCAGGTTGACTCGATCCTTGAGCAACGAAAAAGGAAAGGGGTTTTAGAATATTTGGTGCGTTGGAAAGATGCTGACGCAGGAGAAGACACTTCATGGGAACCTGCAGACTCAATAATTGCTGACTGTGCTCAAGCTGTCAAAAGCTTCTTGAAAGCGAAAAGTGCTAAGGTAGGTATGGTTACACAATACATGTTATCTATGCTGTCCCCATCCCATCCCCTTTTTTAAAAACAATGTTCATAACTTGGCTCTTTAGCTAAGCAGATTTTGTGCTGCACATTAATAATAAAATAATTTGATGGCATCTTTTGTGTATTTATTTTTACTAATATTCTAGTCTCACATCTGTCTTTTTCTTGACACTAATATGGTCACTAAGCTCTATGTTCTTTACTCTGCAAACTTTCTTCTACGGTACAAACAACTAAAGCTGTTATTTAATTTCAGCTTTAAAAGTTTATAATTATAATCATCTCAGCTTGAAAGGAAAATCATGTGTGTGCATCACCTTAGGAAGTATCTGTAGTTTCTTGAGAAATTTGTCATCATGCGTTTTCACTTTTGCAATATTTTGTATTTTCTTATTTGAAGTTGTATGTTCTGAAAGAAATTCAAAATTTATTTTTAAAGGTGGGACTTAGCTTTTTTGCAAGTCTGTCAGGGGTTGTTTTGTCTCCAGTTGTCAATACAAAGTGCTAATATATCTATGTACGGTATCTTGTCTTTTCATTGATCAGAGGTCGTCGTCAAGATCAAGAAAGTCTTCTCGTTCAAGGTCAAGATCTTCATCCCGAAGTCGCAAGGCGACAACGAAAAAAGAAACAACGAAAACAGCTGTTAGGAGGTCCTCAAGGTCCCGATCAAAAGGCAGATTGTCCAAAACGTCCACAGAGGAAAAGAAAGACGTTGAAGAGGTCAAAGAGAAGGCCCCTGTAAAAGAGAAAAGTCCTGAAAAAGTAACCGTCGTTGCAAATAATTCTTCCTCCACTGTGGTTGCAAGTGTTTCTACTAGCAGCACTACTACTCAAAGTGCTATGGCAGAAAAGGTATGGAAATAGTCACTATGTGTTGTATACTGAAGATTTGTGAAAATGCTTTTAGAAGTATACTGACACATGTATGGTTTGTCAGTTTTGTTGCTTAAATTTTTTAGTTATAAATATTGTACGGTCTAAGAAAAAAAAGTTGTTTTTGTTTGTGTATTTATTTAAAGTTTTTTTAGTTGTTTTTTTTTTTTTCCCTAATGGTTTGTTTTTGTGTTTCTTCCAGAAACGTTCAGCGAGTCCGGAGCAGGGTCGAGTGCTGAGGTCATCTACAGTGGCAGCCAGAGAGAAGTTGGAGGTTCAACGTGTACACAACGAGCAGCGACCAGTACGGGAAGACGACAACCAACCCCGCAGTGCTGTTTGGAGGGTGGCAGACTATGCTGTCATTGTTCTGTTCATCATCTCTGTCATCGCTGCTATCTTCCTGTTTGTTGAGAAGTTTGTCGAGTAAGTTCTGAAAAACAACTTATTTATGACATTACTCATCATCTATACAGATGTTTCATAATGATGACTGTTTCAACTCCTCTGGCCAACCCATCAGTGCATTAGTATTGCACTTTACATCATGTTTGAATCAGTTTTTGAGCTGTGTAAAGTGTACATACATTTTTCCTTTACTTCAGTATTTAATTAGTATTTAGCGGTGGTTAAGAAGATTTTATGTTACACTCTATACTGTAGTGTACCCCGCATGCGGGGTCACATGCTTTCGGAGTCTCGCGGAAGGATTGATGAAAAATAATTCCAAACTGATTACTTTATTCTAATAGAAAATGAACTGATTTTTTAATTGATATATTTTTCAAGCCAATATTTTACATATTTTGTGTAAAAAGTGATCTTGAAACATTTTTACTGTAATTTTAAAAGCTTTCTATTTAGACGCCAACGGTCAAATATATACCACAGGAAAGCCTGTTTAAAGCTGTACAGTTCTCCGCCAATGAAAAGACGGTATTTAATCATTCCTCGTTATGCGAAGCATTTGAATGCACGCGTGTCAATTTTTCAGCCAGCCGACCATGCATTCCGACCACGAGGGGCTTCGCTTTCGTCGGCGATCCTCCAGCTCCTAATAATGGGACATAAAAACAACTTACACCATTGTAACGAGGAAAAGCTGAACTTTTACAAGGTGTACGGCATTTGGTGTTTTATAGCGAAAGAGAAAAGAAACAGCGATCAGAATTACCCTGATTTCACTGATGCCACCCTGTCGGAAGGCCGCGGGGCCGTGTTTACGCTACCTAAATAAAGTCGTGGGCTTAGAATTATTTTGCATCAATCTTTATGCGAAACTCGGAAAGCATGTGATCCCCCTCGCGGGGAGACATAATTATGTGGGGCCGACCGGGTTAACGCTCGGTGTTTTTGTCGAAATAACGACTAATCATCGTGTTTGGGGCAATAAAATACTGATTTGTAATGATCTTACAGTCTTGAAAAAAATTAGGCTCCATATCTATGTATAGTGATTGTACTCTGTTAATGTAGAGATGTTTGGTGTACTTAATACACTTTTGTTGTCTGTCAAACATGAGGTTGCAGCCAGTTAGCAATTAAGCAATATTTGATCAAATTTAAAACAGCTGCCATTTTCTTAAAAATTTACTGAGAGGTAACAGAATGGTACCAAAATTCCCTAGAGACTTCGGCCTTTCATATGGAACAAATAAATTTGGCATACTGCTGCTTTGAAAATTTAGTTTCTGGTACCTACTATTCTTATTCAAAGCACAATGGTACTGGTGAGGTTTTTTTCTGTGAACAAGGGAGGTTTACTTTTAGTTATGTAGAATACTTTGTTTGCTTGTAAATTGTCGTACATGAGTGTTCTTTCCATCTCAGACCTGGCCTTTTGGTTCTGCTGGTCCAGTAGTGAACATGTGATGAATAGAAAGTGAAAGATATTTTTTATTGGCATGCATGTCCCACATTTTCTGTATTCTTTTGAAGATTATTCTAAGTTAAGGGTGAGTTGGACTGTCAATAAATCTCATTATATCTGCACTAACCAAAATATACATTTTTTTTTATTAATGTAAAAAAATTGAGAAGAGTATTTGTGCTCCTGGTTGCCCCAGCTGTCTTGGTTTGGAATAGTATGGGCCAAAGGAGTTGAGATGTCAACGGTCATGCAGAGAGACAACATCCTTATTCTTTAAAGTTACCCATATTTCTGACATTAGCTGTTATGCTGTCAGTATGGATTTTATAATTTTCTCCCATTTCCATACTTCATACTGGCTGGGATTATGAATGGTAGAGTTTGTTCACACTTAATTTGTGTTTCCTTTTAGTGTAGGATTTTGGGGTAGTAAAAGGTAATGTGTGTCAAGCGGTGAAAGAAGATTTTGGCAACCTTTTTGTAAACAATATTTCTTTTTTGTCTGCAGTTTGGAGGACTTCAAGAAACAAGCATTCCCCAACATGAATGTCTTGAAGGCCCGTCTCATTGCAGCTCAGCAGAACCTGGTGGAGGTGGTGCAGACCCTTGTGGCCCGCGTCTCCCAGGTCTGGCTACACATCGTTGACTCGGACAGCGCTGGACATGCCCCACAGCAGTCAGTACCCACCAAGCAATAATGTCTGTGTCTTGGTTTTTTAAAAATAATTTAGCAAATTGTATAGACAAGCTGTTCTTGTTGGATTATAATGCATGTTCTGCAGTGATGTCCAATTATGAATTTATAATGGAAATGAGTCTGAGATGGATGAAGGATCATCGTTTCTAGCACTCGAGAGAACAAAGGACAAGGCTCTGGTTGTCATGATCAGGTATGGTTTTGCTTACAGGCTTCCAGTTTAATGGTGAAGAGGTTGTGAGATGTTCTACTTGGGATCAAAGATGACCTGCCGAAGCACATCAAAAGAGTTTTTTGTATTACCCTTTTTGTTCAGCAGAGACTCTTGAAAGGGCATCAGTACATCAATCAAAGAATTTCTACATGGTTCAGTGTATGAGAGGATAGTCCCTTGCTTTTGAGTAAGCCATGTAATTGAATTGTTGTCCTATCACATATGAAATACTATGACGCAGCCCGTGTAGCTGGCCAAAGCTCTGTCTAGGGTACCTTGCTAGACGGATTTGTTAGTTTGTGACCATTCATTCCAATTTGAAGATGACTTAATCCCAAGATGTTCACTTCAATGAGCAAAGAACCACATGTTGAAAGATAAAGATGCTTTGTAACAAAGCCAGTACGTGTCCCAGACAGAATTCTTGTTTTCAGTCGGATTTGTGAAATGCTTTACTTTAGTATGGTGCCCTTTATTGGTTGTGCATTGAGGGCAAAGCTGATAAGTGTGACAGCATCACATGGTGCAAAGATTATGGAGTAATGCCATAGGTTCGTGAATGGTGAAATGCTTGTATATTTTTTGTATATTTTCTCTAATACTTTGAAATTAGTATGTTAAGAAACGCCTGTAAATGGTTTGGAGCAAGTTAATCCACCTACAGTATTTTAGGAAAGAATGTTATGATGCCAACAAATCGCTTTATATGCATAGTAGTATATTTGAGATTTTTTATTGATCTATGCTCTTCAAAAGATGAATAGATGAAATATTACTTTGAGGCAGCATTTTAAGAGAGGTATCATGGCTTTAGTTTTAGCATAACATTGTCTCATCAAAGGCAGAACATTTAGGGACATGTCCAAGAGGATTTCACCTGAAGAGCAGAGAAAAATTGAGAGCCTGACGTGCCGCCGATAGAGAACAAAGTAGTCTATATATGGCTGTCTGCAGACCAGGTTCGTCCCCGGTTTTGGAAATCCTTAGTTGGCATTCTGTTGCTCCAGTTCAGCAGACCCCTGAATGGAGGTGTATCACTTGGTCTGATTGTATCACTCTGTGTATGGCAGTGGTGAAATGTTGATCATTCTATTTTGGAAGGTGTTGTCTTTAATGCATGCATGCAGAATAGCCTTTCATGTTTCTAGTATCATTTATGTGTTTTGTTATGCGTTGATGCATTTTGTTTCTCATTTTTATCTTCAAGTAGAGCTTCTGTTTGGACTATTTTGCAATTGCTGGCTGTACAACAAATGGGGTTCCCTGTTTCTGAGCCTGAATTAATTTGATATTTTGTTCAGATACTCACTGATGCACATCGAAACATTGAACAGAAGTCTTTGCCTATGCCCGCAGTGCTCAGAAGGGCTCATAAGTGTACATTAAGTGAACCTTAGCGAAGAGGGAAAGGAACACTACCATGTCATTAAAAATGTTTTAGTGATTACATACCTCGGTGGGGGGGGGGTATACGCCTACCCCTGGTCACAAAGCTGACACAGCTACTCAGCGTCTTCCGGAGTACACACCTGGTCATGTGTACAATGCCAATGAAACAGGGCTGTTTTATAAAGGAATCTCTGATCATGGTTATGTCTGCAAAGGTGTTGAGCTGAGTGGTGGAGAAAAGAGCAGAAATACATGATTGCTGTACTGATGTGCACTAACATGTGGGGACAGGTTAAGTTGTAATTTTTGTTCATTGGAAAAAACACTTGGCCACGTGGCTTTCCAAGTGACTGCTCCGGACTAGTTGTCATCTATTGCAACTCAGAAAATGCTTCGATGACATGAGACATTCTGAAACCTATTTCTGTGGTAGTTTTTGAACAAGTATGCAATAAGTTTCTCAAGTTCAAGTGTAACTGATCTCTTGACTAAATTGTTAAATTTATATATGCATATTTTAATGCTGTATAACAAAAACAACCACGCTTGTTGCACATCATAGGCCTAAGTATTCAATCAGTGACCATGTAGAGACCTTCCTTCAAAGGTGTATTTTGAGTGACTAATCGAAACATTTCAAGTCAGTCACCCAATCGTATCTCTCACCCAAACCAATGTCCATGGAGAGCTGGTTGGGAAAACACTTTCACTGTGATGCGTGAAAGGCAGTCTTGCCAAATTATATGATTGTCGACACTCGTCTTTGTGAATGATGCACACTGCCTCAGTTGTTACAAAAAGTTTCTGCTTGTCAAGCTTTACCTGTCAGTGTGTTTCACGCATTGAGGCTTATGTTTAGGGGAAGTGACCATAGGTTTGTGTGTCTAAATTATATAAAAACATTTTTTTTTAAAGGTTTCGCTTGAAAGGCTGTACATTTATATGGCATGTGTTCAGGCAGAGACTACTGTAACTTTCATATGTCTGTAAGTTAAACTACCACTCCAATGTTGAGTTGATGATCGCAGGTGATTCAATCATACTTTATTTACATGTCGTGTACATTGTATGGTCTGAGTGGGTTTTTTTCATTTTCTGCTTAATTGCTTTACGGAGTTGGTGGTGTATGCTGCTTGCTGGTGGTTGAAAAAGGAGCCACTGGTGGATCCCACTTCTTTACTGTTCCATCGATATTTTTGTCTGAAATGCTTGGTTTTTCTCAGATAGTCGATTTTGGGCCCATGTGCTTCTCTTTTACTAAAACATTGTGTTACTTTTTGGCTCTGAGTCACATATAATAATTAGGCTGCAGTCTTCTGTTATTAAGAATGAACATTATAAATTATAATAATTTTTTTTCTGTACATGACCAGATTCGCCGATTGATGTGTGTCTGGTTTGTATTATAATTATAACAAAATTAACATTACCTGATGCTAGGACCAAGCTCAGTTTCCTATGACCTTTTTTTTTCAGTTGTAGTTGTAGGTAGATGTTACAACAATAAAGATGGGTTGTTTTTTTTTGTACATTCCTGATATGTTTCAAAATCAAATTGTGTACATGTGAAGGACATAGAGAATCTAAGAATTTTCTAGACTAGTTTTTTAAATTAAAAAAAAAAGAATTTTAGTTAACTCCATAATAAATTCAACAGTGTCATTACTTTGAAATTTTTTGTTTGTTCTTTCACAATCTTTGCATTCTGTTTCTTGTTTAAATTAGAAATATTGAAACTTTTGTCAAATTGTCTCCTGTCACTGCCTATTACTATTACATTACGTTTTCTGTCTTAATGTTTTGTCTATAGTTGGCCTGTAAATTTTATATGCCCCTGTTGTCTGTTATAATAGTTCTGCTTTTTTCCTGCACTGTATAACTGAATTTAGTTATCATATCAAAATCTGCATGATGTAGCTGGTCTTGTGAAACCTATACTGGTACTTTATTGATATATATAACATATTTTGTACTCCCATCTATCTTTGTGTTTGACAATCTCAAGGATTAGGATGCCAGTTGTGTCGGTGACATTGTCTCCCATGTTGTGCCCTGACTCTTGACTGGATTTAAGTTGTTTATAAATGGAAACATCTGTTGTCATACTCTTGCAGAGTCAGAGCTATGAGAGGATCAGTTTTTTATGGGTTTTGCCTCATAATGAGTCATACTCATAAAATGAGTTACAAATTCTGAACCAGTTCAGGTTGTTTAATTCTAATACTATCCAGTGTAACGTTAGTATGTTCTACTCTGGAGTTCACTGGCAGGGTGTTGCTACACTACTGCTGCATGGCAGGGGATTTCTCTTTCAGAGCTTTATTGACTGTGTCATTTTTTTTGTTTCCTTCTGGCTAGTTTTAGCTTGACATGATAAGTAAAAATGGCAAACATGAGAGCTCGTATCTCATCTTCTTTTCTACCCATTGCTAGTCCCACAAAACACTTTTCTGCTCATGTTATCTCACAGCAAAATGTTTCAAATGACAGTCCTCAGGCATTTCATTACCAGTATTGGTGGCAAGTATTATTCCTTGCCATGACTGTCTTTTTGTTTGTGGAGAGAGGACAGAGCATTGTGTGTTTCTGATGATTTGTCTTTTTTCCAAATGTTCAAAGCTAAACATTGTAGTTTGGTCATGATGAAAGCCAAATAATTTTCTAATTCATTTTTTATCTAAAATAAACACTGTATTATCACAGACAGCTGGAGAAATTTGATGATGTTGACTTGAGTTCTTTGATTTCTTATATATTGCAATTCCCTTTCTGAATGTCCATTTACATAATATACAGTCTGACCAGCACAAACCACAGAAAACTCGAAATCAGGGTTAGCTCGTACATTTTGCCTTTCACTGACTTTAAATTTTCCCCAAAATATGGACAAGTTGGACACATTTGAGTTATTCGTGCTCAACTGGTTGAAAGAAGACAGGTCTGCCTCATTTTTTACTCTTTTCAAAGGTTCATGGGCTGATTTTGATTTTTTACAAAAAATGCCAATTGAAATTTTAGAGTGGAAATTGAGTCCTGCCTAAATCATTCCATTCTCAAATGAACACATTACTTTTTGACACTCACTCACCAATGTCTTTTCTGCAAAGACCATACGTTTCTATAGTAGGCCTACTTGCTTTTACTTTTAGCATCATACAATCATGACTATGTAACCAACACAGGTTAGACAGATCATGCCTGCCTCCCTTCTTGTGTAATCACCTCCCGATCTATACCTTCACGTTCAAAGAATCCCATGCACACAAACATGATTCACACACGTTAGTACCATACAGCCCAATGTAAGGCCACTCTCTGTCTGTCTTCAATCACACCCCACTACCCAACCTCACAGATTCACAAAACTAAAAAATTCAAATTCAAGGAAGTTCAACCACCTTACGCTCGCTACAGGTAATGTGCTGTGATGCATTTCAACACAATACCAGCAATGTATCACACGAATCGCACCATTTTGGGGCAAAATCTTGTGGGCTCATCTAAATTGATACTGATGGGTGCATTTGATTTGTTTTCTCTCCTGCTAAATTAAAAGGTGATTTCAATTCAAGACAATTGTAGGAAAAAATTGATCAAGCTTTTGAGAAAAGCTGTTTGACACATCCGTGCACTTGTTTGAGAATACACTGCTACCAAGTAACAGTACAAAGAAAATATGTAGTACGATAGTTCATCAGTAAGGGAATGGCATAATGTTTGAGCTGTTTGTGAATCCGAGTTTTAAGTGTTCAGGTTATCCATGCTCAACTACTACTGTACTTAGTTTAGTGGAACTTATTATTACATATTTGCACAAGCCTCCTTGCTCACTTAACAAGTGATAGTGGGTGGTTGGCGGGTGCTTTGTTGTGGTTTGCTTCTTCTTTCCTGTCAAACATCTATTGTCTTTATCTCCCCTCCTTCTTTTTTGTGTTTGTTACTCTCTTGTAACTCCTCTAATCTTCGGCACTTATATGACCTTATTGTGTTGCGAGTGCCGTAAAACATTTAGTAAAACAATAACAAGTGATATGGCATGTGAAGCATTGTGGTGAAATCAGACGCTCGTCAAAATAATGACATTAAAGAAATAGGCATTTTTCCGCCAGTTTGGCAATTTTTTCGAATTTTTGTTTTTTTGGGCTCTACACCTTTTATGCTCGAATAACTCATTTCTGTGTGAATTTTACTGCAAAACGTTGTAAAGGCACAAGATATGTATTTTCAGTTTTCAAAGACTCTCAAGCTATTAAATTTACCAGACTTTGGCGGCCATTTTCTCACTAACTTTACCCCCGACACCGGGTGACAACCACCTTCTTCAATTGCAAATATCTCGACTTCTATTCTAGATAGATGGGTACTTTTTTGTCGAAAACAAGGCAAATGAACCGGCTTTTAGGTGATATACCGGTAACTCCACATACCCAAAAATTGACCAGCGCCTGATTCCACAGCGTCGTGACCCGAATATATATATACAGTGGCATCCTGTTATAACGAGAGGGAGGGGACCGGTGCGAAATGTCCGTTATAGCAGGATTCTCGTTACAAGGGATCCAGTAATAAATTCAAGGGAAATAGTAAAGTAGGCCTAATCTATGAGTTTTGCGTTCTGTTTATTCCTTTTTGTATTTCCCTTGATGATGATTTGTTCAACATGATCTCAAGGTCTTACATGATCAAAAATCGAATCAGGTTTCTTTCTCTAGCACTAGCAATGTTGACAAATAGGCCTTGGCGATCAGAAAGAAGGGGCTTTGGCTCTAGGCTAACTCGCCCGCAGTGTCGTCCCCCATCCCACCACACACTGTGGTGCGTTGCGTCTGCTTGCGCACGTCACACATTCACTCCATCCATCTATCACAGACTTGTGACCTCTCCATCCTGCACCAGAAAAGTGAGTATGCCTAGTAGTAGATAATCTAGACTGGGCTGGCCTATCACGCGATGCATTCTGCTTGTGTCTCCGAAAGCCACACCCTCCCCACTCATTCGCTCCGGCCTTCATTGTTTGTTGGCGTGGGCTCTCCCACTCTTTGTTTCCTTGGATCACCGACAACTTTCTTAACTGGCAAGGTTTTATAATAATGCTTAATTGGTCTGTGCGCTGTGCACAGCAGCAGCAATATTCCGTTATAAACGACTCACGTGACGGTCTGATTGCACAATAGCAGTATTTTATTTACAAAGATAAAGAAGCAAAAAAAACGGGGTTTTAGAACAGTGTCTTTATAACAGACTTCTTGTTGCTTCAGGACTCGTTATAAGTGGACTCCACTGTATAAAAATGTAAATTGTAACACTAAGGTACCTTAGGTATTTACAGATTTTTTATTAATTATCATTATACTACTGAAGAATGCGACCTATCAGCAGAACCTTAAAAAAAAAAAACTAGTTCAATGAGCTGAGGGTTGTAAAAGTAGGCTACCGGTATATGTGTTTAAAAATTTTTTTTTATTGAAGTTGAAGTCATAGTCGTCAACGTACATAACAAATTAATGTGCATTTTATATGTAACATTATACTTATGTTATAAAAAGCAAAAATTCAGTCAATTGATGGAATGAAATGAAACATAAAACGGAACAAGTTTGTTACACAATTAATGGGTCTTGCAGTGAGTGGGCAATGGAGACATGGGTTGTATAGTATGACTGTGGTGATACGATGCGGTGCCTTTATTCGTTGAGTCTGTGAAGCATGGGAAAATGTAGTCCGAGTGTATCTTTTAGTATTAGAATGCTAGTCATTTAAAGTTTAAAACATATTCACAAAGCAAACAATTTATTCCACAAAACATGACACATCTGAATCATGGTCTTATGATTATTCATAACCCAGTGGAACTTGCCGTGTCTGAAAAAATATCTTCATCTGTCCGCTCTCCTTACTCGATCATCAGTGCATACTTAAGGTACCGGTAAAAAACAATAAGTTATTAATAGAACAAGACAGGATGATGACAGTAAGGGTAGGGGGAATGCCATAAAACAAAATAGTGCACTCATCATGACTGTGAATGTGAAACCTGTAGTCTTCATTACGGCAGCAGGGTTCTAAAAATATCGACAGCTGAGCGCAAGAAGTGACTATTTCCACTTTTTATAGTTTCAAGAATAACGATTTTGAAATCTCTATAGCTATAACAAAGTAAAAAAAAAAACGTAATAAAATATCTCGATACTGTTGCTATAGACCGGGATCAAGTTTAAGAATAAGAAGATACTCTCCGTCTAATGATCAACAAATCGGATTATTTTCATTACATAGGTTATCCCCTGCCAGTTTATCAATTATTGCTCCTTTCTTTTTCATATTTTTTGTTTTGTTTTCACCTTTCCTTTTCCAGTATCTTTGTCCCAGTGGAGGTTAATTAATAAACAGGATCAGAGTCGCATGGGTAATTATAATTGCTTCACAACTATAATAATATTTACATATATATCAATAATATGTATATTTTTGTAATTGAGTAGTTGCCACAGCAGGGAAAAGGAACATGTATCATAAAGATGTGCAGTAGGTCTGGCACCCAGTCATTTATTGATTTATTCCCATTACAAGTTTCGCCATCCCATCTGGAGACAATGTAGTGCCAGACCAAGATCATGCTTAGTCTGTGACTGGATAGCTGTGTCAACACCAATGTGCATTAAGTATGATTCAGCTCTATACCCCCCCTCCCCTCCCCTGCACAGTTTAATATATGTTTATGTGTTGGACACAGTGGGTCATCGTTATGTCAGTGTGCAATTCACCATGTTTGATAATGTTAATAATAAGAATAATGTAAATGGGAGTGTTTATTTAAATAGCATATTTGCATAGAGCATATCCCCACTCAACAGCAAGCTCTATGCTGTTTACAATCTGTATTATCCACTCTGCAAACCCAATGAAAATCAGAGACATCAGCTTCCCACGAAGCATAAAGTGCAAGTAGCCGATTAAGCCCTGAACTTTAAACACTAATTGACACGGTCTTCCACTCTTTGTTTATAGCCCAGTTCCCGTTCCAATCTTGGTGAAGGTGAAGTGAGGAAAATTCACATAAAGTGCTTTTCCAAAGTTCGAACCCATGATCTTTCAGTTGCAGGTCCAACATCTTAAAAAACCACTAGATCTAGACCACTAATGTTTCACTTCCTATCCGTTTGTGGGTTATTCAGGTTAATGTCAAGTATGTTATGTCCAAATGCCTGTTATACTATAAAAGAACTGTACACTTTTAAATATAAATAAGAGACTCAACTTGGGGATTTATTATTGCTAAAGCTAAAATCCCTTTATATAGCTGTGGGTGGTTGGCGGGAGCTCTCGTGTGGTTTGCTTCTTCTTTCCTATCAACTATCAAACATCTATCGTCCTTATCTCCCCTTCTTTTTTATGTTTGTTACTCTCTTGTATCACCTCTAATCTTCTGGCGCTCATATGACCTTATGCAGTTGCGAGAGCCGTAAAACTTCTACTTCTACAAAAAGAAATTTTTTATAAACTTTATACAGTGGAGTCCTGTTATAACGAGAGGGAGGGGACCGAGGCAAAATGTCCGTTATAGCAGGATTCTCGCTATAATGGATTCAGTGATAAATCCAAGGGAAATAGTAAAGTAGGCCTAATCTATGAGTTTAAAAGTTTAATGTTCTGTTTATTCCTTTTGGTATTTCCCCTGATGGTGATTTTGTTCAACTTAATCTCTAGGACTCTAGGTCTTAGTTGATAAAAAATTTAACCAGGTTTCTTTTTCTAACACTAGCAATGTTGACAGCTCGGCGTTGGCGAACAGAAAGAAGGGGCTCTGGCTCTAGGTTGACACGCCCGCTGTGTTGTCCCCCACCCCACCACACCCTGTGGTGCGTTGCGTCTGCTTGCGCCCGTCGCACATTCATTCCATCTAACACAACATTGTGACCTCTCCATCCCGCCCACAGAAGTGAGAGGCACGGTATGCCTAGATAATCTAGACTGGGAGGGCCTATCAGTATCACGTGATGTGTTCTGCGTGTCTGCGCGAGCCACACCCTCTCCACTCATTCGCTCTGGCCTTCCATTGTTTGTTCGCATGGGCTCTCCCGTTCTTTGTTTCGGGATCCCCAACGACTTTCTCAACTGGCGAGTTTTTATATATATGTTTAATTGGACTGCGCTGTGCACAGCAGCAGCAATATTGCGTTATAACCGACTAGCGTGTTTGTCTGATGGCGCTATAGCAGTATTTTATTTACAAAGATAGAGAAGGGAAAAAAACGGGGTTTTAGAACAGTGTCTTTATAACAGACTTCTCGTTATTTCAGGACTCGTTATAAGTGGACTCCACTGTATAGCTAAGACTCATGCCATAATCATAGGTGGAGCCCGCTGTACATTGGTCTTTTGGGGGTAAACAAGCAATGACTTATTATGAAGGAACAAAACAAAGTGAGGGGTCATAAGAGAAATGAAAAATGTCAACACTTTTGATCAATTTATTAATAGTGATTCAGTGGGGTTGCCAAGTTGTGGTTTGTGGCAAGTCAGCATGACAATAGAGGCGCATGTTCCCACACAATATAACATTTGAGAAGCAACAACATGACAAAATGAGGCGCTAGTCAAAATCAGCTGTTGTGCGAGAGATGTCAGTGTCAGGCAAAACCTTTTATTTTCTCAAAGCTTTGTGTTTCTGATTCACAAACTTCAACAGATTGTAACTTTGGAAGCTTTTACTAAAATTGTCTTCACTCATTTGAAGGGTTTCACATTGATGAACAAATCTTACATTACTTGATACCCAAGGTTATTATATTGTACAAATATGACATGGGATTCATTTTGTCATGTTGCCACATATTTGATATTGTAATAGTAATAGTAATACTCAAATAAAAAGATACGCAAGTATAAAGTAATGATTCCTAATGAGCAGTAAAAGCGTTTAGGGGGACAAAATTCCGATGTCCATCTTGTTTCATTTTAACCACGGCACAATATGAAAAAGTATATATGTACAATATCATTTTTTTTAATGTAAAAAAGTACAAGTACATAGTTGTAAACAGTAGCCCACATAAGAACTGTTTCCAACCAAAAAAGCTCATCAAAATATGTTTTTAAAAAATGTGTAAAGAAGCTTTGATCTTCGCTGAAAAATTAAACATGAATATGACCTCCCAAAAAAGTAACATAAAAAAAAACCAAATCCAGGAGAAAATTGTATACTATCACTGTGATATTATTATCATTATAAACTCATACAATACCAGTAAATGTATAGTCCAACGCCAAGCACATACATCATGTACCTGATTAAAATTTGCCTTCATTCCAAGACAATAGAGTGACCAAATGAGGCTTGGTCGGTCATTTCTTTGAAACATTCCCATTAAAAAAAAAAAAAAAGTGATTTTTTTAACCATGTAATCCATTTCATTTAGATCACACTTAGTTTACAAGCCGAATTCAATCAGCTGGGACACTCTTGAGCACATAAAAAAACAACCCCAGTCACTTGATGAGAAAGGTCAAAATCAAAAGTTGTGCTTTGGCATCATTTTGGGATAAAACACAGAAGTTGAATTTGATTGTGTCTATGAGGTGGCCATCTGGTTTTTTTTAGTTTTAGGAAGAGTTCTATGACACTTGCAACACAATGAGGTCATACATAAAAGCCGTTCAGAATGTTGCAGTCTGACGTAGCGGACTGAATGTATTGTGAGTACAATTAGAATCTGACAGGTTACAGTCAGAGTGGTGGCAATGGTGGCCTCTCGTGTCATTGAATAGGAAATGTATGTGTGCAGTACCTGTAGTAGGAAGAGATCCATTGACTCCTTGCACCACAGGAATATTTTCTTAATATTGCTTACAATTATACCTGAATAGTTTATTCAATAATTATCATTTCATTTGTTCTCTTATCCTTCTCTTCCCAACTTCACAGTAAAATTTAAACTTATATAAGCACTGTTTATTTGTTTGAGTAAAGAGAAGCACATGGACACATTAATAATACATGTACATGTTTGGTCATTTAGAGCACAGAAAAAGTAAGACAGACAGAAACAATAGAGGGGACAGAAAAGAAGTTCTAGTTCCCGGTGGCACCCTCCAACCACCCACAATATATACATGGAAAATGTCACTTATTCTACAAAACACAGAGGGGTCATTGGATGGGCAGGACACGAAGATAATCACAGATGTGTAGCTTTCTAATAAACAAAACTTTTTTAAGTACACAGGATAGGACTGGAGGGCGAAGTTTGTGTTTGCTTGTGATTGATTGTAATTGTACATGTATATATATATATACTACATGTAGATCTATGATCTATGCCCAAAACGACACAATCTAGATAATTTAGGTTGCTTGACCCTGCCTGTCAGGTACATCCAGGTTGAGTGGGATACAGCATTCCAGCAAACGGACGCACATACTCAGTTCAAAGAACTTCCTCATGTGGAAACAAACTCGTGTCTTCTGCATGCAGCAGTGATGAATCTAACAATCTAACCATCACACCGCAGATACCAGTCTACTTGACTTGTCTGGTTCTGTTCTGCATCTCTAAATGATTATGATAAGTAATTCAAAGTCTGTTTATCTTAATGTCTACCATCTGACTTCATACAAAAGAGATCATTTTGAAATTCGAAATTCAAGTGCTTTATTTGGTCTCCTGATATGAAATGAAGTAAAGACGTCTAGTGGAAATTTTGCAGGAAAGACAAGAAGAACTGACTCAAGAGGCGTATAGGTCAAGATGTCAACTGATGGAGCCGCAGTGGCCAACACCGTCCAGTCAAGAGTGGAATAAGCTTTCAGCAGCACAAGGTCAAGGACATTTAGTAGCCTGCTGCCTCAGAGGACTTGTCACACTCCTTTCATAACGCTCACAGAAACACTTGAGAGACAAGAATGAAAAAAAGGAAACAATATTCAATACATGTAACAGTTCAGAACGGCCCTATATATGGTAGATGAGATACCGGTCTTCAAGTGTGATGCAATTGAGAAGAAGATGTAAGTTTGTAACAGTTTCGTTTTGGTAAGAGTTTTACGGCACTTGCAATACAATAAGGTCATATAAGTGCCGAAGAATAGACGTGTTACAAGAGAGTAACAAACACAAAAAAGGACAGATAAGGACGGTAGACTTTTTAATAGGAAAGAAGGAGCAAATCAACAGATAAGGACGATAGACTTTTTAATAGGAAAGAAGGAGCAAATCATACCAGAGCACTCCCCAACCACCCACATACATATATATATATATATATATGTAACAGCCATATTTTGCCAGAAATAGATTAGAATAACAATAACAGAAACACTTAACATGATGTAAAGAAACACCCTACATCAGAGCGCGAGCAAAGTGGATTAAGCAATGTTTCTGCCTTCCTTTCTCACTCTCCATACACTCGTACACAATGTTAAAAAAACATACACAATAAACCTACAACAAATAGATCTATGCTCATCAGACTGCCACTGGTCAGTGAAAACAATCACTTCATTCTTCAAACCAACATGAAAAGGAAAACAGGATTGAATTATGTTCTGACATTTTCCCAAAAATATTACACAATACTTTTGTTAGCTTTCAGTTTAAAAGTTTCACTCACCATTAAGACAGACGGCCAGTGGAAAACCTTTGAACTCAATGTTGAGTTACAAAAATACATCGAATTTTGATGAATACTGCTGCTGTACTGTACTGTAAACTGTAAGTTGTAAGACAATCAAATTTCTAAAGTCTTTTCTTCACAAATTTTTACAACCGTCAGGTTGCCACACTCTCTTGGTTCTCCCATGCATTAAAAGTGACATGTCTGGCTGGCTATGATGAAACCTGAAGTTTGTAAGAATCGACTGTTCTCAAAATCCAAATAAAATCAAATTCTACTGACATACAGGCATATTGTATTATATTCAAACCTGTTCATTGAAAAACTTCAGTACAGAAGAATAAAATTTGCAGTACCAACATCAGTAAAAAAAAAAACAATTTAAGCAGTAATGTATTGCAATTGAAACCAAAGTACTGCACAGCAACACATATTTACTGGGATAAACATCAGATGGAAATGAATAAATGAAACAAATTTTTTCTGGCTTTCGTTGTCTGCCATAGTTTAAACATGTATAGGTCGAACACAGAAGACTCTAAATCACGCATCCATCGAACTGTGCCTATGGTCCCATTTTTTCTTCTTCTTTATCTTTTTAAGATATTCCTTGAACTGGGAATCCCTTGGACTACCGAGGCCAGTCTCGACAAATTCGAGCTATCCGTGTTGCACTGTATAAAAATATACCTGCAGATATGATTTCATGGAAATACTCTGACGCAAACTCACAAGACGGGCAAAATATCCCAGAGCAGCTGCCAATAAAAACACTGTCTCTTCATCATCAGGTAAAGCGCAATGTCTTTCCAGTATGAGACTGTCAATCTAGGACCAATCTTTGACATGCACACAACATGTAATTAATAGCCACACACTTTCACTCATATAGCTGTACTTAGGAAGCACATACCTGTATTCAGTTCAAATTAAGAAAGCCGTCAAATCAAATTTTTGGTGGTAAAGTTACAATGACAACAACTGTACAGTGAGCAAAACACAGGCAACAGTCCATACAAGTAAAGCATTGTATTTTCTATCCTCGTGGTTTTATGCACTCTGCATAATTTAACCAAATTTGATCAATTTGCTTCATTTCTAATTATTTTCCTTTATCATTCTTTGTTAAAATTATCAGAATCACATTATAATTTCACATTTTTGGGCTCAGTTTGCATAATTTCCTAATTTTTCTTGCATAAAACCACGGGGACAGTATTTTACATTATGACCCTTCATCTACACAATATCTGCGGATGCCTTTCTAGGAAACACAGTATCTATTTGCAAATCGAATGCATGTTTTTATATTTTTCCGCTTTATCTGTATTAAAGTCCTTCATTGTTTACGTCTGCGAAGGAAGGTATTTCGCTCGGCAAGCTTCATTAGCTCATCCGGATCCTCCCACTGGGTGGAGCTGTCCACCTTTAGAGTAAGTCGTGACCGACAACAACGGTGGGTCAGGTCACAGGTGTTCCGCTCACACGGCTTATAGTAGAACAGAGAGATGGGTTGTTGTCCATTACAAGGGGAACCAGGCTTAGTGAGAGGCCCACGCTTCGGCCTCACAGAGTGACCACCATGTCTGTGGTCATCACCAAAGAATTCATCACCAGTAGCAGCAGGTGGTGGGCTGTGGTAGAGACTGTACGTCCCAAACTCATCCAAGTCTCTCTCCAGCTCAATACTAGGGTCCAAAGTAATTTGTGAATCAAACTTACGGTAAACAGGCTCAATCATTTCATATTTTGTGCACATTTTACTGAGATACTTCATCTTATATTTCTTTTTATGGATTTCTTTATCTTGATTTGAATGAGTCTTTGATTGATCTGTTGGCTTCCTAACTTTCGCTGCAGTTGTCTCAGCACGTTCAGCTGTTTTCCTTTTTAAAGTCAAAACCGCGGAATTTCTTGAAGCAGAACGAAGCGGTTTTCTGCGAAAAGTTCTCTCTGCATTACTGGAAGACTCTGACTTCTCTGTCTTTGGAAGAGATGATGATCGAAGCTTTTGCACACAGTTCCTTTGATAAAACCTCTCTTTATTCAGTTTATGCAGTCTCTTCAAGTGCCTAGCTCGTTTTGACGACATCCCAAGCTCTTTGTAAGTTCTTTGTTTCCCAGGTCTAAAATTCTTTTGTGTCAATTTGTTAGCCCTGCACTGACGTTGTTTTTCCCCGTTATCATCATTGTTATTGAGTATTTGTTCCCCAGGCTGAGTATTGACATTAACCAGTTTTTCATGAAGTCGGGGCTCCTCTCTTTTCGCTGTGGCTTCCTCCGAACTACATTTTTCTGACTTCTCGCTTTGCACAACATATAATTTTCTTTCCTTACTACAGCTACCTTTTTCCCCCTGTTGGGTTAAGTTCTCCTCAGCCTCATCTTGACATTTCCGAGTTCTGACACTCTTCCTTCCTGAAGCAGTTTCCTCCCTTTCAGACCGATTGCTTTTTGGTTTAGTCTTCGTCTGTCTCAGTGCACAAGTTTCCTCCTTTGATTGTTCCCTGGACCTAGTTTGTGTACTTAAACTCAAATGCATGCCGACAGCTTTGCTGCTGTCTTCTCCACGTGGCAGGGAGGGCGGCTTTTGTTTGACCCCTGATGGTTGGTGGCCAGTTCTAGACTCTGACTTCCCCATAGAAACCTTCCCTTGGGAGAGGCTTTCCTTCCGACTTATAAACTTTCCTAGGTTTCCCTTTTTTGGAGGGTCAGTCCTGTTTATCACATTTCTTTGACTACTGCCCTGCTTTTCCAAACCTTTAGCCTGTCGACACTTTCTCTGCTCCCGATAAAGCTCTGCGCTTCTTAGAAATTTCTGACCAAAAATTTGATTGACAGTTTGATATGGTTTCTTATGAACACCTGAAAGTGGCCTGTCAGAACTATTTTTTACAAGAGAGGACGGAGCAGACTTTTTGCACATGGTGACACAAATACCAGTCTTCTCAGACACTTCTCCATGCTGTGCCTCAAGAGCTCTGGTTGTAGCTATCAAACCGATCTCTGACACGGGAATGTTTGGGTGTTGTTTGCTAGCAGTGACTAAAGGAATGTATCCTTTCTCCTCATTCACTGTGCACCTAGAAGATGAACTTTCCATACAATCTGAATTTGAGGGACCTTGGCGAGATGAGTCCGGACAAGGACATGTCGTAACATTACTGCCATTACTCTCATTTGATGATTGTGCTTTGAATGATACATTTCCTCCATCAATTTTCTTCTCCATACAAAACTTGCTGCTCGTGTCTGACAAGATTTCGGTACTACTGGACACCATTTGGCGTCCGTTCAGATCTTTCATGGAAGGATCCAAAGTGAGGTTGCCAGAAGTATCCATTGGTGGTAGGGAGTGAACAACAGTGATCGTGTTTGTGTAAGACAAGTGTTTCCATACACCTTACCGACTTATTCTCAGAACCCACACTACACTACTACACAGTCACAGCTTTTATCAAAGGTGAAGAATTAACTTCTCAAAGCACCTTTCGAGGCTCATATGGCACTTCACATTGCAAGATTAAGAGATTTACAATTTTAAAAAGTTGACGAATGCCACTCTCTGTCGGCTCGGCCACAACTATAAGGTCGTTGATGCCTGCTCTGTGGTCTGCGATTGAGTCTGACTCCTGGGATTAGCTGTAATTGACAAAAACTTTTTCAGCTTTGTCTGTGATTCAACAGACCATCATAACCATCGAGTAATGAAGACACAATATTGTTTGGTGCTACGACTCTTGGAGAGGCTTTTACTAGACTTAAGTCTTCATGTCACTGAAGAAACAAGGGAGCTTGAATCTGTGACTAGAGCCCTCCTGAGACTCCCTGGTCTGCACTCATCAACACGTGAAGAGTCTGAAATAGATTTACAACCACATAAAAAGTGAGCAAGATCAAAGGCAAAAGAAAACAGCTACTTTTTTCCTTTTTTACAGAATAAGATTAGATACAGTCAATCTTTACTGTCCAGGCGCTGGCTTTTGTGTTTCACAGTGTGAGCACACATGCACACACACTACACACACACAAACATTATAGAGGCACTTTCAAAAATTATTACACGAGATTTGTTTGTTTGAGTTTGAGTAAAGAGAAGCACGTCAACACAATAACTGTCATAAAGTGCAGGGAATAAGCAAGACAGATAGACAGAAACAACCAAAGAAAAGAAAAGAAGGACTTATCAGTGGCGCCCTCCAACCACATGATGCACAAGACATATTGAGTAAAGGAAGCAGCCAGAACAATACTGAGAAAAGGGGACCACAAAATGTATTTATACAGGACTAGGGGGGGAAAAAAGAATAATAAAGCTGTCCCCATTGTTTTATGCAAGAAAAATTCTGAAATTATGCAAACTGAGACCAAAAATGTGAAATTATGCAATTCTGTTAATTTTAGCAAAGAATGATAAAGGAAAATAATCAGAAATTATGCCAAAAAATGATTAAATTTTACTTAATCTGGCGGGGTGCATAAAACCACAGGGACAGAAATAAAGCAAGTTTTGGGGGTTTTTTCTTGACACAGCTGCTCAACAAAAAGCTGGATCCGTAAACACGGATGAGACCTTCAATGTGCCATTGTTGTAATATACAGCAGAATTCTACCAACGCGTTGATGGTGTGTAAAAGTCTGTCCAATAAATTCTTATGTTGCAATTGAACTTCAATGCGTTTGCTTTTCTTCTGTGAATAAGGTTCTGTTTTTTTGTTTTTTGGGGGGCGTGGTACCGGTAGGTGTTTTACGGCACTCGCAACTGCATAAGGTCATATGAGTGCGTGGGACACATTAAACATTTTCAGTTTCTTGGAAAAAAAAATTATTTTTGCCCGAGTGGCGGCCAAAGCCTACTCGATTTTGAATCCACCAAGGGATCTTTAACTTAAACGTGCGCAACTTGCACACAAGACCTCCGAGATTTTTCGCCCTGGTCTGAGAAGGCTAGGTGTAGATCTTTCCTACCATAAGATCAGGGGTGTGGCTGAAAGACTGCAGTAAGAAGGAGCCAAGGAGGAGCAGTAGAAATAGAAAGACAGCAGAAAGAGTCAGGAGCCCAGAGGATGGGGCAAAGGAGGTGAGGGCAGAAAGTGGAGAGGAAAGAAGACAACATAGCATAGCTGAAGAGCAGGAAAGGAGGTGAAAGGAGACAATTTTTTTAGAGAAGAAAAATTTCCTTCGCTATCCAGATAAAAACCCCGGGACTTATTGAAAGAGAGGCAAACACCTTAACATTTAGCCGTCACATCTCGCTGATCAGCGATGTTTACTACCCAGTTTCTTTGGATTTCCCCCCAAAATGTCTTTTTTGCCTTTGATGGCAAGGATTTTTACTATATATGAGCCTTGTGATGGCAAATTGTTAACCTCTAGACCACGATCTTGAGAGCCCCCTGAACAAGTTTAGTCTATCAATATAATTATTGTCTTGAATTTTCAAAATACACACACATATGCTTCTTTTTGTGTTTGGTGAATAAAGTCGTGGGTTCGAATCCTGGCCGGGTCAAACCGAAGACTTAACAATTGGTATTTTGGTAGCTTCCTCACTTGACGTTTGCATTATGAGGTCAGTGCCACGACAGGTCTACAGATCTAGGGGGAGAGTTGTGGCAGTAGGGTGAGTGAAGTCATAGGAAAATAAGATGGATTTATTTATCTAGACCAATCACCAATCAGGCATGAATGAAGTTCACACTGTCCAACATTGTTTACTTTTTTTCTTTTCACCATCAGTCTAGTGTTCAGCACACCTTAGTAATTATTCAGGTTCAAATACATGCAAGTCAGTAAGGCACCTTTTGGTTTTGTCTGAAATACAAATACTTTAGGCATTGCAAACTAAAAATTTCATTTACAATTCAGCCATCAATATTAAGTACGGCTAGACTGACAGTCTAGCCGTACTTATCTTAAGCCCTATTAACATTAGAAAACAGGAGGTTTAAAATACATGCACTGTCATTAAGGCACCTGGTTTCGTCTCAAATACAAAGACTTTAGGTACTGCACACTAAAAATTTATGTTTACAATTCAGTAGGCCTTTTTTTTATAAAATGGTCAGTCTAGCCATCATATTAAGAATAAGTACGGCTAGACTGCCAGTCTAGCGTACGGCTAGCCAACCAGTCTAGCCGTACCTAAGTACAGCTAGCCTCTTCCTAAGAACAATGTCTACTTGGCACTTCGGCATACGCTTTTATGCTTTCTCCCGATGATCGTGCAAGCCGACATGGACTGTATAGATTTGGATCTCTAAAAGTACCAGAGATTAGATCTATTATATATATATAGATCTATATTTTTTTATTTTTTTTTCTGACTGATGTATATTATAGAAATCTAGATCTAGATCTAGATCTAGAAAATCTAGTTTTCTTTCCAAATACGCAACAAATTACTAGATCTGGATCTAGATCTATTCTAGATCTAGATATCTAGGATATACTGATACTGATATGTTGTTTCAATTTTTCTGTAGGCCTAGATCTACATAAAACATGAAATTTCTTGTTGAAAAAAAGGGTATTTTTTTACTTTCCCTCCCGTCTCACACTCAGCTACCAGTTGTCTACTTTCTACTAAATATTGATGCGCTGAACACGAATATCAACTTCATTTCCATCGCAAATTAATGGTTTTTGAAATATTTGATTGTTTTTAACCGAGATAGACATGCTTTGGACCAATCGGGGGGTTCCAGGGGGGCCTGCCCCACTGGGGTAAAAGAAAATCTGGGGGTTACAGGGGGGCATGTTTTTACACCCATAATTTGATATTTTACAGTTAGATTTGAAATTGTCTTGAAAATAATTGATTTGCGACAGTTTTAGTGGCTTTATGTGTGATCTGCAGCAAACAGTACAGCAGTTTGACCCCTGAAACAGTGCATCTGTGTGCGGGAGTGAAAGTAAAAATTTACCCAAAAAAGTGCAAAACATGTCGCGAATGATGTTACGATAACTTGCATAATTTTTACATAATTTTGCTTTTTTTGTGCATAATTTGGCCATCTAAATTTGCATAAATTTGCGGGGACAGGTAATGGTATTGATTGCAGTTGCCAATGATGGTATCGACAATTACAATTTATCAATTGGATCCTAGAATCTAGATCTAGAATCTAGAATCTAGTCTAGACTGGTCTCTAGATCTAGATTCTAGATCTAGTTCAATTTGATAGTTAGATCAAGATCTAATCTAGAATCTAGACGAACATGTTACCCCAAGAATTTCAAGTACTGGCGTTGTTTTCAAAAGTGCAATTGACCATTGACGAACATTCACTCTCATTCAGCTTCCGAGCAGTTAGCGAAGGATCTAAACAGTTCACCAAGGGTCCCAGATATATTAGATTTCTATCACCCTTTTAGCCCAGCTTGAAATGGAAAGCGCTAAATGTGACCGTGGAGGTTGAGAGCAGTCTAATCTTCTCATTTCATTGTCAAAAAGTAGACAAATAGTTTCTCATTTTAACTCCTTTCTGTTAGCAATACTGTCCTTTTTGAGAAATGTCTCTCATGTTTCATTTTCAGTTTCAAAATCGGCTTTCAGCTTGGCTTTCTTCTATTTCATACATGTAGTTCTACACACACACACACACACACACACACACACACACACACACACACACACATTCATTCATTTTCGACTTCTTGAAACAATGTAATATTCACCCATTCATTTTTCTTGCTGCCTTACTTCTGAATTACTCATGAAGGCCTCCGTATACTTTTGTTTTCCGCTATGTACTGGTGTGATGGTCTCTTTTCGAATTCCCCTGATGTCGATAACGATAGTTATCACCTTACTTGATCTCTTGATTCTGGGAATGATCTTCCGTCTTCCTCTTACTCTTAAATTGTGTTGACAAGTGGGTAATTCCTCCCTGTCCTCTCTCGTGGTGCTTTTTTTCCCGTAAACGTGCGGGAGAACATCAGAGCTGCCCACTTTCGGGGGAAAAAAGCAACTGTGAAAGCCGCGTAATTTTTTTTACAATACAATATTAGATTACCGTATATCAAAACCAATACATTGTACAGTATCATCCGTTTAGTAGTAGTTTTAGTAAGAGTTCTACGGCACTTGCAGCACAATAAGGTCATGTAAGTGCAGTATCACCCGCCAATACATGTAGGCCTATAGACTGCAATGCATAATATATAATTGATCAATAATCAGATTTTGAATTAAATCAATAACTTGTCAGGTATGAAAACATATCTACCGGACAGGGGCGATTTTTAGATCAGGCAGCATAATTTTTTTGCTCCTTTAAGATACAGTGGAAACCATATATAACAGGCCCGGTAATAACAGGGATCCGGTAATAACAGGGATTTTTTAAATCCCCGTTTTGTCCTACTCTTTGTCTCTATTAAAATAAAAGTTATCGGCAATAACAGGGCCTCATCGGAGCCCAACCGGTTATAGCAGGGACCAAGGCTCGTCAACTATAATATATGAGTAAAAAGTAAGAGAGAGAGAGAGAGAGAGAGAGAGAGAGAGAGAGAGAGAGAGAGAGAGAGAGAGAGAGAGAGAGAGAGAGAGAGAGAGAGAGTAACGCAGTGATGGAGCCCACGCAAGCCATGCCACTGCAAGCACACGCAGCGTGTGAAGGGAGAGAGGGCTGCGGTGTGCTGCAGACCTCGATCTAGCCAGAAACCTAGCAACACGCACGCATAATGTGTCACCAACGATATCAAGCGCGAGAGAAAATGCCTTTCAATTGACAAAAATACGAAATAATCCAGGCTGTTGACAAAAAGCAATCTCCACTGGCAGAGATTTGTCGTCAGTTCGACATTCCACAAGGGTCGATTCACACCATTATCAAGGATAGAGAGAAGATAGTGGCAGCATACTCCAATGAAAAGTTTGCTCTGGATCAAAAGAAGATGAGACTACCCTATGCAGATGCCCTGGACCAAGCTCTTCTGATGTGGTGTAAGGAGGCAAGGAGAAAATTGGTGCCAAAACCTCTGTTCGTGGGTACTTGTGGCAAGGGAAACTACCCATAAATAAGTACAGCCGGATTAGTCCACAAATGCTTACTTTCCTTTGCATTTCTGATTTAACAGGGATCGGATATAACAGGATATTTTGTCTACTACCACCATCCCTGTTATATCAGGTTTCCACTGTATAAAGATTGAAGGTGTGACTGTGAGACGTGTCCATATGTGTGTAGGGCCTACATATTTGCTTGTAACACATTCTCTCTCCCTCTTTCTTGGTACATGTAGTGCCTCTCTTTTTGGTTTGTTTTTAGTTTCAGCTTAGAAATGGTCTGGAAGTCTCTTAACGTCTCCAGAAAGACGGATATAAATCTACATATTTGGATGGGAACTGTGCCTAGAGTAATTTTGTCAAGGGGATTGTAGCCGTTGGGTGGAGTCGGCAATCTAATTGTGTCGATTTCATAAAAAGTGCGCTGCTCTGATAGTTTCCCAAACGTGACGCTGAGCGCCGCTTTCTGCGCGCGCGCGCGCGTGTGTGTGTGTGTGTGTGTGTGTGTGCATGTGCGTGTTTTACCCATGTCGTTTTTAATTTGCGATTTGTTTAGTCTCCCAGTGTCAATTATGTGTGTGTGTGTGTGTGTGTGTGTGCGTGTGCGTGTGCGTGTGTGTGTTTTACCCATTTCGTTTTTAAGTACCACTTGATGAACCACGGTCTACTGCAATCTAGGCTGTTTTTTAAAATTTTTAGTATAGCTCAAGTCTCGCCTGATTCAATGGCCACGGTAAAGTAAAGACAGCGCTGGGGGCATTTCGACCAAAAGCGGTGGCGTTACACAACATAATGTAGTATGTAGGTGGGTGGATTGCTTTTTAATTGCTTCATTTTGCTGTGATATTTGTTAAAAGAATTTTTCAGGGGAAAAGATTATAAATACATGTAATTATTTTCAAGTAAGCCGAGACAGCAAGCAAGTGACCAGATTTCTCTAGAGTACAGATTTTAATTTTACGGTCTTCAACATGTACCATGCACATTGACATACACGTACTTTGAATAAATAAAAATTTGAAGAAACTTTGCATCCAACTAACTTTACTGGTTTTACTGATTTTTAGAGCTTTTTAGCTTTGAGGTGAGGCACTTTTCTGTCTAACAAAAATATAAGTCCATCCGACAGGCTCTGTCGGTGGACAACTTTCTTTTTCGCCTTTCTTCGGGGTTTTCGCCCGTCTGATCGTTTGGTAGAAACAGAAGTGTTCAGACTTCAAGGCAAAAGAGGAAGAACTTGTTGCGCAGTTAAAAGTATGCGTGAGTTGACACCATAAGCACTTTAAACTGATAATCCTCAAAAGAAGACAGTCTTAATAAACTTAAATTAAAATGTGTCAGGTTGGGCGCATTGGGAAGGTAGAGACCTATGTCCAAGACAGCCTGCACCCCCTCCCACCCCCCACTTTCAATTTCAAACTCTCACTCAAGTGTAGTCTTGTACTTCAAGCGAGTGATGTTCCCCTTTGTGTTGGTCATTTACAAAGTGGAAGACCAATCTGAAATGCAAGCGTATTGATGTCCTTGGAGGCTCTGAAGGTGATCTTTGTTATTATTGCACTGTTCCTTGTCCTAGTACTATGGAATCTTCTACAATTACTACATATGTACTTGAAGTTGGAATGAGTTTCAGTGCCAAGGTTTTCCTTTTGTTTCTTTTTTGTTTGTTTGTTAGGTAAGGTGACAGGTGTTAAAAAAGGAAAATTAAGTTCTAAAATGTGCCCTGCATTAAAATTTATAGTAGGCTAATGTAATACATTTACATTCTAATTATTACTGAGAACTCAAAACTTTCCCGGTGAGTGTGAGCGTGGAAAGACATATACAGTCCAGTGATAACAGCCTCTGTTATTATAGGAACTTGGATTATAACAGTGATAAATCAAATCCCCGTTTTTTTCCCTCTAATAAGTCTAAGTAATATGAACATGGCTAAACTATAACAGGGTCCTAATTACACAGACTCGGATAGCTTTAACTTGTTTTCGATCCGTCAAATTATTAAAATTTGTCTCAACCAAGACATTTCACCTGTTTGTATGATCGCTTACCTAACCCCCCCCCCCCCCCGACACAAATGGTGTCGCGGTCCTTGATCGATTGTGTCTCAGTGTCAGCAAAACATCATCATCATCATCATTGCCTTTCTCACCCTGCACCAGGGTATAGGCCACGGACAAACACCCCCCACTTTTCTCTATCCTGGGCTAGCCTCTTGATGTTATTCCATGTCTTCCCACTTTTCTGTAAATCGATTTCTGTGATTCTTCTCCAAGTTCCACGAGGTCTTCCTCTTGATCTCTTGCCCTGTGGGTTCCAATCCAAAACTTTCTTTGCTATGCAGCTGCCTGACTTCCTGAGAGTATGTCCAATCCATCGCCACCGCCTTCTTCCTACCTCATCTCTGACTGGGATCTGTCTTGTTTTCCTTAACACTTCCACATTGGTGACCCTGTCTGTCCATCTGATCCTCAGTAACTTTCTTAGACACCTGTTCAAGAAAACCTGGATCCTCTTTATACAAGTCTGCGATGCGTTCCATGCCTCACATCCATACAACAGGACCGACTTCACGTTTGAATTGAAAATCCTCAGCTTTGTTCGAAGTGAGATCTCTCTGGTCTTCCAAATCCTATCCAAAGATATGAAAGCAGCCCGTGCTTTTCCAATGCGGGACTTTATTTCAGCACCTGTTCCTCCCTCTCTGTCTATTATGCTCCCAAGATAACAGAAGGATTCAACGTTTTCTAGGGCCTTTCCTTTTAGTGTGACCTGCTCCTTTCGTTGTGCATCTGTCCTTAGTACCTTTGACTTTCCGGGGTGGATCCTCAATCCAACAGACTCCGATAGGTTGTTTAATACTGAAGTCTTTGCTTGTATCTGTTCCTGGGTGTGCGACAGAAGCGCCAAGTCGTCTGCGAAATCCAGATCGTCCAACTGTGTCCATGGTGTCCACTGTATACCATTTCTGTGTCCTCTGGTGGTTTCCTTAATCAGCCAGTCGATTGCCAATATGAAGAGGAACGGTGATAGTAAGCATCCCTGTCTCACTCCAGTCTTGATGTCAAAGCTGTCCGTTAGCTGGCCATCATGTACAACCCTGCAACTTGTCCCTTCGTACATGCTTTTGATGAGGTTCACCAACTTCTGTGGGATTCCGTGGTGTCTCATTATCTTCCATAGTGTCGCTCGGTCTATACTGTCAAAGGCATTCTCGTAGTCAAGGAAGTTGACAATCAGCTGGGAGTTCCACTCCAGGGACTGTTCCACAATAATCCTCAGCGTGGCAATCTGGTCGGTGGTTGAGCGATTTTTCCGGAAACCGGCCTGTTCATCCCATAGTCTTGGATCCGTTCCTGTCTTGATTCTTTCCAGAACGATTCTGTTGAAGACCTTACCTGGTATTGAGAGAAGAGTGATCCCTCTATAGTTGCTGCAGTTGCTGAGATCCCCCTTTTTTGGAAGCTTCACGAGGTGCCCTTCTTTCCAATCCTTTGGGAACTTGCTCTCATTCCAGATCCTGGTAAACAGTGGGAGTAGGATGTCTGCCGTCACATTGGCATTTGCTTTTAGGGCTTCAGGTGGAATCTGGTCAGGACCGGCCGCTTTACCTTTGTTCAGCTTCTTAATGGCATCCAAAATCTCTTGTTTTGATGGAGCATCACAGCAGATAGGTAACTCATTTCTTGCTGGCAGTATGTTTGGTGGGTTACTCGGTGGTGGTCTGTTCAGGAGACTGTTGAAATGCTCTACCCATCGCTTAGACTGAGCTTCCTTTCCAAAAATGCTTTTCCCGTCTTGGTCCTTTACAGGTACTTCAGGTTTCCCATATTTTCCAGCAAGTGTCCTTGTGGTCTGGTAAAGGATTCGCATGTGCCCTCCTATCGCTGCCTCCTCTGCTAGCCTGTTTATGTATTCCTCCTTGTCTTTTCTTATTGATTTCTTGACATCTTTAGCTGTTGTCCTGTACTGCTCCACTACATCCGCTTTTG